TGCACAGTGTGTGTGTAGCACCAGCTGGCAGATAGGAACTAATTAAAAGGTAATTTTAGGATATTTATGCATAGCTGTATAGTGTACACCACCCTGCTCTGATGCCACACAAAGCATTCATCTGAGCCCGACACACCCTCATTCCTTATTCCTCATTCAGGACCCTCTCCGGGGCTTTCTCCTTTTTTCTTTTAACCCCCCTGTCCCTCCACCCTCTGAAAACCCCATGTGTGATCCCCCCTAAACCACTAAAGTGGGCCAACCAATCCCCACTGAGCAGCCAGATTGTGTTTAGCATGACAAAAGAGAATCTGTGTGACCATTCGTGTCTGTGTGTTGTTTACATGCATTGTGTGTGTGTGTGTGTGTGTGTGTGTGTGTGTGTGTGTGTGTGTGTGTGTGTGTGTGTGTGTGTGTGTGTTCCTCTGACATGGCAAAGACAAGCTTTTACCAGTGAAGGAAGTTGGTTTAAGCAGGAAATTCACTCCACATGCGCTCAAAGCACATCTACATTTATATGGGTGCAGATGAAACAGCGTATCTTTGTCTGAGGTTCTTTAATAAGCTAACCAATATAAGCCCACTGGAAAACTTTGCATCTGTTAAGCAGATCTGCTTCAACAAATATGGAGTTAATTTGTAACATCCTGGGTGATAAAATCCTGTTTCTTTGTGACAATGTTGCAATTTTGTTACTACTGTTGATGCCTCAGTTTCTCCATATAAAGCTGCGGCTCACACCTGCTCCTCTTATGCCTGGTCAGCCACGCGTCCCACCTCTCCATCTCTCTGTTAGATTGGAGAGGCATTCCCCTGCCACAACACATGCTTAAGCAATTATTCCACACAGTCCCATGGACAGAGAGGGAGGAAGAGGGCTAGAAAGGGGAGAGCCAGGGAGAGAGAGAAAGAAATTTGAAGTGGAGTGATCAGGGGCAGCTGGCCAGGGATTTGCAGGGTTCTGGGAGAGAATGTGTAGAAGTTAAGCACAACTCCCATAATCCTTTTCTAAAAGAGAGAAAGGAGAGACGGAGGGATTGAAAACAAAGAGAAGAGAAAGGGGGGCCACTGAGCCAGAAGGACTACAGTGACAACGGCCAAAAACAAACTAGCTATGAAAGCAACACACACACATAAACGCTGAATCTGGACGGGACGCCAGCTGAATAACAAGTTAGGACTAACAGACAAACTTTACATTACAAACAAGTTGGAGCAGTAAAGACCATTGGCATCGCCTCGGCTTCAGTGACAGTTCGATCAGCTATGAATCCATTTTCAACTTTGTTACATCGATTTTTAGTTTCAGTCAAATGTCATCTCTACTTGTGGACAGCTCTAGCTAGAATGGCACCTCTGGAGGATTAGGGTCAGATGAACAGGGTTCTGAGGGCACAGGAGGGGTGTCAAGGGCTACTTAAAAAGGGCAGGTTACAACACTTCAAAACACTCATGCCCCGGGTGTTGGCAGGCAGCAGGAGGACACACTGATAGATCCCATGATGCTCTGTGGACTTTAAAATGATCAATATATGATGTGTTGACAACATGTTCATCTTGCTGTCACAGCAGAGTAACCATACGCGTGTCAGTCGATCAGCAGAATGTCAAAATCTTATATTGATTAATAAACAAGGTTTGAAGGTTGTTTTTATTGTGAGATTGTTAAAAATACACAATTTCTAGCAAACAATATGAAAGCATGTATAATGATGCATGTTTTTGCTGTTTAGTACCGCTTCTCCGGCATGGGGTGGTGTGTTGGAACTGCATGATAAGGGGATGTTGCAGATTAAGTAGTCTTGTTGTGACAGATAACGGGGAATACTTTTAAAACGATAAGGCTTTTACTGCCAACTATTAGAAAGTGAGGTCCGCTTTTAATCTATTTATTTGTTCATGCTTTTGTGAATGCAGAGTTTAAAGCAGCTGACTCAAATCAGCTGATGTGAGGCGAAAAACGTAAACAATTCAAATTATAACAGAGACGGAAACACACAAAACTGTTTCAAACACTTACCAAGTAGAAGACAGAAGACGTCGAGCGCTATTAGCAGCTTCTTCTTGCTGTTGTCAACACCATTGTTGTTATTTAATGTAGAGGTTCCTCCGTTTCTTGTCTCTTGGGCCATTGCTTTCTCATACATGTACTTTTGCATTTGAATGTCCCCGTTTCAGCTCAAAATCCCACACCACGCGGTAGGTGAAGAAAGTCTGTCAGTGTCTCAAGTCCTTAAAAAAATATGTCATGCAAAGCTCGGAGGTCTCGTAAAGTTTAAAATCTGCGGATGACACGTTGTCTCGTGTTTCAATTTCTCTATAAAAGGTTAAAATATATGAGTACTATCTGGTGAACCGACCCGCGCCACGGACTCAAGAAAGAAAAGTTGCCTGCGCTCGCAATGAATGGAAAGCCCGCTCCCCTTTATCTGTCTTGGTTCAAAGACTTGGAGTGAGTGGAATTGCGCTGCGCATCGACAGCCGCTCTTGTTATATCAATCCTTCTTCTCCTCCTCCTCCCCCTGCTCTCTTCAAGTTCCCCCAGCAGCTTCAAGGCTCAGCCCTCTTCCCTCTGCTAGCGGTGGGTAATCACCTCCATCCCTGCATGGAAAACTTTCTCAGACTGACCGAGAGGTAGAGGAGCGCGCGGACACAGCGCCCCCAGCGGTAGAGCGGCACGTGACAGGCGCACTACAGTGAAGCGGTTACCAGAGTGGGAAATACTTCACTCATCTTCGTAGGAAAACATGGATTTCGTTAGAATTACTCAATTTTAGAATCAAATAAAAATGAACTGTATATAGACACAGAGAAGTTGAAGTCAAAACGTGCACATTGTACTACAATACATATGTATATTACAATGAATACAGTAGAGTAAATATATTAATAATGATATGGTTAATGGAATCTATTGTCAGGTCATGGCTGAAACCCTATGCTATTGGAGATAGGATTGTTATCCTTAAAAAATTATAAAAGAAAAAAACGTATTTAACGATAAATATTCTAACAGTTTGTTTCACAAGTTAAGGTTGAAAGATGTATGCTGAGTAATGAGTAATGATGAAATAAAAGAGAAACATGAAACATTGTAGAGATATGTTAAATATGTGTTTCGTCAATGCATCTTTAACATGACGCTGATAAAGATGGGGGATTTTTCGAAAACGATTAGGAAACTCTAGATTTTATAGATTCTGCCAGTGCCCATACAATTACACAAATACTTTTTTATGATTCAATCTTTTTCCTTTTCATTATTCGTTTTTCTGAGGAAAAGTGGAACAGGGACTTTGATTGCTGTGGCCAAGCATATGCTGTACGAGAAAATGTGTATTTAAAGGCACACGATTTTATGTTTTTTGTTTAACTGATAAGAAAAAGACAATACTCCAGCTCAACAAATGATCACTTTCAGAGAGGGCTCAACAGAGCAGCAGAAGTCCCAATAGTTAGACTGTATGATTATAAATTTGACTTACACTGCCATCTAGTGGTCAAACATGAACATGTCTTTCATTTTTGTTTGTAACCCAGCCCTCCTGTTGTCTTCGGGTCAAATCTGACCGATTTATTACTTTCATCAATCATAACTTTTTTGTTTTACATTCGATTGCATTAAGGAATTAGTAACCATCCGGATCAGATAAAACACAGACAAACACCCACACACCCACCCCACACACACACACACACACACACACACACACACACACACACACACACACACACACACACACACACACACACACACACACACACACACACACACACACACACACACACACACACACACACACACCACACACACACACACACACACACACACACACACACACACACACTCTAGATGTGTGTGTCCCCCTTATGTGCCCAATCCCCCCATTTGAATCACACTTGACCTGGCACACACAAACACACACAGAACAATTTGACCCATTTCCCGCTCTTATGTGCCCATCCCCCCACATGGATCACACCTGGCACACGCAATAGCCTACATGTTCAGTGTCTATTTCTTTGTATATATTTACTGCAGCTTTTCATGTATACCAGTAGTCTGATACAATATTTACAGTTTGAAAGGATGTTAAATGAAATTTGGTGATGATTAATGGTTTTTGTGTTAATGTAATAGCAGTTAAAACAGGACCGGTCAAATTTGACCGCGAACACCAAAGTAAGGGGGGGGGGGGGGGGGGGGGGGGGAAACGAAGGCAATAGGAGGGTTAACTTTACTTTCCTTGATATCTTCACAAACCCAATCTGTTGTAAAAAATGAATGAAAGATTAGCATCATATTAACGCTTTAAATACAACTGGGGTCTTAGTTTTTAAACACATAAGACACCTTGGGACAACAAAAAACAAGTTTACATATTGCACTCTGTGGACTAATCACAGGGAGGACGTAAACTACACCAAAAAGCACTTATTTGTAAGAATAACAATGAAACTATGTCCCTGTTATTACAAATTGATATGCCATAGAGATGGAAACTTGACACTGCTCTGGTTATGGACATTGGATGAAAAACCAAAACAAACAGCAGAATTCCAATCATGCATTGCACTCCCGTAAACATCTCATGCCACTGTTTGCAAATGTTGGGATTTTAATCTTTTCATGACAATTTATATAACACGTATCCTATTATTTACAACTCAAAACATCAGTAAATGTTTGGGTGTGTCTTGAATAATGATGGGCTGCCTGTTGTGAATCAGATTAGTCGTGTGAACTGTCTATGTATCAGGGAAGGAAATTAACCGGGATGCAAAATTCGACACCACACCGTGCGAAACGCACACCGAACAGCCGTTTGGCTATTGGGGTCATAATCCCGGTTGTGACTCACAAACGGTGTTTTACCATAGCATATGGGATCCAGAAAGACAGTTACCTATTTCAACTACAATATTGACCAAAAAGCGGACAGTGTGCTTAACGGGGCAGAGTCTCCTGTGCTTCCCCCCCCCCTTACTGAGGTGCCCCGCCCCTCCGCGCACCCCACAGGCAGCACCACACTCCGCACCGAGCGAGCCCAGCCGTCGGTAACGGAGAAGATGGCAGAGAGGCAACAACAGAAACACGAAGGCGGGGTAAAAATCGGCCATTACATCCTCGGCAACACGCTCGGAGTGGGAACCTTCGGGAAAGTGAAGAGTTAAGTCGTGCTTTTGTGAATGTGTGCGTTTGTGTGTGAAGTAAACATGAAGTAGTCACCTAGCTTTCCCCCTGAACGGACCGTGTTGAACTTGCTGGTCACTGAGCAGTTAGCGTAGCTCGACGGGTTACCAGCTGTGACAGAAGGGATTTAAAGCGTAATGTGCTTCGAGAATCCGCCAGCTTGAAAGTCAAATTCTTTCACGAAGCCCCCGCTGTGGCTACTCTTTACAGCTATGGCAGGTGAAATTACCTGTACGCCAGCAGCTAAAGGAAGATGCACAGTCATACCCACTTTATTATCTTATAATAATGTAAGAAGTTGGTGTTGTGGTTTTCTGCCCCGTGTAGCATCAAAAAACGGTTTACAGCTTGCCCGAAACCCACCGTGTGAGCATGATGTTGTTAACTGACAAGATGTTTATAAACGCTGTAGGTTGTCCGATATATGACCCCATTGCAAACATGTGTTGGCCTGCTAATGCCCACTAAGTCGAGACAACCTTTTACAGACCTTACGTTCAAGTACTGGAGGGCTATCTATACAGGATATTATTTCAGTTTTTGCGTGACCTTGTGAGCTTTAACTCACCCAGCATGTTTCTTGGGTGCGTAGTTAAGGGATGTAGTAGTTTAGCTGGGGACAACCCTCCTCATGTCTTGGCTACATCATAATCCCCTTATTATATATTTTTGCAATCTAGCAAGCATCAAAACTATTACAAAAATCCAATCTAAATTGACATTAGTTTAAAACCTGTTTACATATTACAAAACACGTTTTTAGTTGCATAGCCTACCTAATACTGCCTTCAATCCAAATAATGAAAAAATACACAAGATAGAAAGAAAGATGTAAAAACAAACAATGACAAACTGAGCTGAAAAAACTAACCCATCAGTAGACTGCAATCCAATAAAAACAACATCATGCATGAAAAAAACTGCTTAAAAAACAGAGACTTCAGACCCTCAGGCAGGCCGATAGCTCCAACTCCCTAAACAAGGACTTGGCCAGCAGATAAGGGCTAAGAGAGCAAAACATTGTTTGCATAATTGTAATAATAACAGTAATATACTGTCATGTTGAAGCCCACGGTGCTTCAGACAAGGCAAGGCAAGGCAAGGCAAGTTTATTTATATAGCACCCTTCAACACAAGGCAATTCAAAGTGCTTTACAAAAATGGAAGACATTATGAAAATGGCATTTAAAATCAGTCATTAAAAAGAAAAGATAATAAAATAAACATTAAAAGAAAAAATACATGGATAAAAGTTAAAAGTTACAGTGCAGTTTAAGATGTGAATAGTTCAATTAAAAGCAGCGGCAAAAAGAAAAGTCTTCAGCCTGGATTTAAAAGTAGTAAGAGTTGCAGCGGACCTGCAGGTTTCTGGGAGTTTGTTCCAGATATTTGGAGCATAATAACTGAATGCTGCTTCTCCATGTTTAGTTCTGACTCTGGGGACAGAAAGCTGACCAGTCCCTGAAGACCTGAGAGTTCTGGATGGTTCATAATTTAGCAGTAGGTCAGACATGTATTTTGGGCCTAAACCATTCAAAGCTTTATAAACCAGCAGCAGTATTTTGAAATCTATTCTTTGACACACAGGAAGCCAGTGTAAGGACTTCAGAACAGGAGTGATGTGATTCACTTTCTTAGTGTTAGTGAGGACTCGAGCAGCGGCGTTCTGAATTAGCTGCAGCTTTCTAATAGACTTTTTAGTGAGACCTGTGAAGACACCATTACAGTAGTCCAGTCTACTGAAGATAAAAGCATGGACAAGTTTTTCCAAATCCTGCTGTGACATTAGTCTTTTAATCCTAGATATGTTCTTTAGGTGATAGTAGGCTGATTTAGTAACTGTTTTAATGTGACTGTTGAAACTCAGGTCAGAGTCCATGACTACACCTAGATTTCTGGCTTTATCTGTTGTTTTGAACATTGCAGACTGAAGCTCAGCGCTAACTTTTATACGTTCTGCCTTGGCTCCAAAAACCATTACCTCAGTTTTATCTTTGTTTAATTGGAGAAAGTTCTGACACATCCAGTCATTGATTTGTTCAATGCACTTACTCAGTGTTTGAATTGGAGCATAATCTCCTGGTGAAATTGTTACGTAAATTTGTGTGTCATCCGCATAGCTATGGTAACTTATTTTGTTGTTTTTCATTATCTGAGCCAGTGGTAGCATGTAGATGTTAAAGAGAAGAGGCCCCAAGATGGAGCCTTGAGGTACCCCACATGTCATATTTGTCAACTCAGATGTGTATTTACCTATAGAAACAAAGTTTTTTCTGTCCTTTAAGTAGGACTCAAACCAATTTAGAACTGTTGCCGAAAGTCCCACCCAGTTTTCTAGTCGGTCTAGCAATATGTTGTGGTCAACAGTATCAAACGCAGCACTGAGATCTAATAATACTAACACTGAAGTTCTGCCACTGTCTGTGTTTAAGTGGATGTCATTGAAGACCTTTACAAGAGCAGTCTCAGTGCTGCAAACATAATAATTTGATAATCCAAATCAAACCTTAACATATATCTTTCCTCTCTCTTGTGAGTCCCTATGTGTTTTTTTTTTATCTGCCTGCTGCATCTGCTTCATATCTGTATTCTGTTGTTTTCAGTTGGCGAGCATCAGTTGACGGGTCATAAAGTGGCTGTAAAGATCCTAAACAGACAGAAGCTCCGCAGCCTCGATGTCGTCGGGAAGATTAAAAGAGAGATCCAGAACCTCAAACTGTTCAGACACCCACACATTATCAAGCTGTAAGTGCAGACAGATGACACATCCTGCTAAAAGATTTTAAGACTCTCGGTGCTGACAGTGACACAGAGAGATAACAGATATTTGAAAACAAGGGGCTTGTGTAATGTGGCCCTTTTGCTATGTTGTGTTCTCTCTGTTGTGGCATGTTTAGCATGTTCCTGTTTGTTTACTACAGCTGCTTGTGCAGTACTGAGCATGCCCACAGGGCTCCCAGGAGGTAGAACACAGAAATGCCAATAACATATCAATGCACACACACTTCTGGTTAGCTCAGAAATCCAGAATTGGCTATTATCTCTTCATGACTAAATCCTTGTCCTCTCCCAGATGTCTTGGCCTTTTGTGTTTTTGTTTCTTTGACCTTGTGTTCCCTGTTTCTCTTTCCTTCATTCTCACTGACCTCTTTCTCCTTGTCAGTCCATGTCTCTCTGTCTCTCTCCAAACAATCTCTGTGTTATTTTTAGGTAAGGGTTAGTCCACTGTAAGCTAGAGCAGATATATGAGCTTGAGTGCTGTGGAACACTCTGTCACAAACATTTACATTCACAAACACTGGCACAAACACACATATATTTTAGGCTCATAAGCTTGCATGGACACTCGCCTCTTTGTTTGCTATATTGGCCCTTTTTGTTGGAACCAGCATGAAAGGAAACTAATAAGAATAAGTGTCCTAACGTATTACAGACAAAGAGAGAAATTGTGATTTGGTTTGTGAATTTCCGCCCAAGGTGCCGGCTGTGTTATGCTACACTGGTCTAAACAGGAATAAAGCAGATTGTGATGAAGTACAGAATCTCCTGAGAGCAACCACTCATGAGATTGGGCCTGCATTGTATTAAGCCTGACCTTTATGAAATAATGCCTACCCTTAGCAGTCATACATCACAGCGTAGCCTCGCCTTTCTCTGCATTTGTTTCTCTATATTTCTTCCTTTTATGTTTTGAAGCAAATACATTTTCTCTAGACATGATATAATAGCCTATTGACATGTTTATATAGTTATATTACATGTAGGGATAGGATGTTAAAGAGGCAGAAGTGTTCATTAACTTACAGTATGCAGATGTCAATACAAGCATATGTTTGTGTTTTAGGTACCAGGTGATAAGTACACCCACAGACTTCTTCATGGTCATGGAGTATGTTTCTGGCGGTGAGCTGTTTGACTACATCTGCAAACATGGACGGGTAAGATATTGCATTTATTAGTTGTTGTGCTCAAGCTGTCTGTATTTGCAGTTTACATTTTGATTTCTAATAATGTTTCTGTCTGTATGTGTTTTAAAAATGTGTGTAAAGGTTACTATAGGGCCCCCTCAAAATCAGTTGCTACATCTCAATGTGTTTTCCCTTCAATAAATTCAAGTTATCCTCATCGACTAGGTCCCAGGGGACACTGCATTACAGAAATATTTAGTCCTGTAGTAACAGCTCGAGTTGTATACACAGTAATGGCGTTGCAAAGCAGTGTCTGAGGTGATGTGACCTTTTTTTAACAACACTTACAGGATTTGTTTTATTTGGCAGGTGTTCTAACCAAGTAATACTTATATCAGTGTTTCTTTGGGGGTCATAGACACTGCTAAATGCAACTTTCTTTTGACTATAGAGATATAATTATTTAGGATGAGTTGTATTAGCATTTTTTTTAGAACTATAAATGTTTTCCTACTCTGTAGAGACAGCTAAATACTGTCTAAATTACAGCTAGCCCCATTACAAATATATTATGCCCCAATGTGTTTACTTTTCCTTTCACTATTCGTGTGACCTTCCAAGTAATATAATTTATAGTTTATGAGTCATGAACACTTGATTGACAACAGTTTTATTTTTCTGTCAATGCGAATTTTAATGTTTACTTTACTCACATTTAACTTTGATACTTTCTTTGAGATTTAAACTTAGAGTAAAGCATGGTATTCCACAATCACACACACATATAAACAAGCACACGTCAGACATCTACGTAAAGACAATCTCTTCTTGGGACTGTCTTTATTTTTAAAAGAATAATCCTATTTGGACCTGGGCCATGAGCCATAACAACCTCATGAGCAGCCCTGCCTGAACATGATACATTTGCTCAAAACAACACGTCTTATCCAACGTTCTTACCAAACAATCAGAAAAACACTCACGGTTCGATCATGTGGATTTCATATTGTGTCTTTCAGGTGGAGGACACAGAAGCTCGGCGTCTTTTCCAGCAGATTATCTCAGCTGTGGACTACTGCCACAGACACATGGTGGTCCACAGAGACCTCAAACCTGAGAACGTCCTGCTGGATGCCAGCAAGAACGCCAAGATAGCTGACTTTGGTAGGAACTAGAGATGTCCCGATCCGATCACGTGATCGGGGATCGGAGCCGATCACGTGATTTTCAAAAGATCGGAATCGGGAGAAAAAAAATCAGGGATCGGGATTTTTTTTTTTTTTTTTTTAAATTATATAAAATATTTTTATCATTTTATTGAATGTTACAAAACAAAAATGACCATGTTCACGTCTTAAAGACATCCTGAGGCCTTAGTTTTGGTTTAAAATTACACAACATCATGTATGTGTTGCTTGTTTTCATAGACCTGGTTGCTTATTTCTCTCAAATCTGGCAACAGAGTGGGCAGGGCGCAGTGTCTAATAGTAGCAGTAAGCTAACAAGAGGCTACGTTCAGCTGGTGACTCGGGAGTCGGGACAGAGAAAATGTCAGGAGTTTGGAAGTACTATAAAATTGAAAGCGAAGGCAGTGTAACAGCCAGATGCAATGTTTGCAAGGTGGAGGTTCCGCGTGGTGGAAAGAACAGAGCTACGTTCAACACGACCAATCTAATACGCCACCTGAGAAACAAACACCAACAACAACACGAGGAGTACACAGCGGCCACTCAGGTAACGGCACTGAAACAACCGACACTTTCAGAGACTTTTAAAAGGAAAGAGAAACTGCCCCAGAACAGTGTTTTCACTGTTTCACTGGCCAAAAAAAGAACAGCCAAGATAGCTGAATTCATCGCGTTGGATGACCAGCCGTTATCTGTTACCTTTTTTTTCTCTTAATGCATTGCATAAAGATCGGATCGGGAAAAATCGGTATCGGCAGATTGTCAAAATCAAATGATCGGAATCGGATCGGGAGCAAAAAAAGGTGATCGGGAGATCCCTAGGAACCCTAGAGAAAAGACTTACAGTTAAAAGGAGAGACAAAAGGATTGGTATGGCAGAAGAATTGTTAGGGAATTTAAGAAGAGAGAAAGCATAACAGAATATTTTCATGGGGGAAAAAAGAAACACGAAGAGGCAGAGTTGTGGCAGAGCTGAGTGAAATTACTAAGTAATTGGAAAGTTGATTAGAGGCAAGAGAACATTGGTTGCAGTTATATAAGTCATACACTTAATTATACACTCATACAAAAGTGTGAAATCACCGTCTTGCACCTGTTAACCTCATAATTAAATGAACATTTATTTCTCACTGAGCACAGTTTCTCATCGGTTATGGCATGATTTTTCTGGCTGATTTGTTAAGAGACTGTACCCGAGGCAATAAGACCATGAAAGAGAGAAATATGTTCACAAACACACTAAGGCCCGTGTGCACAGCAGGGTGTGTGGGCTGCAGAGAGGTCCCCTAGCAACGGCCAGGTCTCATATCATGTCTGGCAGGAAGCCTTGAGACCCAGTGTCATCTGATAGGGAAGGAATCGTGGGGGCTTACAGCAAGGGAAGTGTTTTGGCTGAGGGCAACAGACACTGGAGAGTAGGGAGAGGGAGTGTTAAAGGAACCGGGCTAAAAGATAAAGAGAAGGTCAGCACTTCACAGACTGTCTGGTGTTTAGCGTTTGGCAGAGGCCCTGGCAGGCAGAGACAGGCTCATCCAATTAGATGAGCTTTGTGCTTAGAGCTTAGAGTCTTGGCGGGTAAATGAGGATAAAGATATCAGCCGTGCCCGCAACGTAAAACTCTGCCCTCCCTGTCAGGGGGCCATGTTCATTTAACCAAAGGATCAATAGCAATAATATGATGATAGAGGATTGTTTCATTAGTCTGTGTTATTGTCAGAGTAAACACTGAAGGGTGTTAATATGCATCTAATATATTTATCCCACGTTTGGCCAACAGGTCTGTCGAACATGATGTCAGATGGGGAGTTCCTACGGACGAGCTGTGGCTCACCCAACTACGCTGCTCCAGAGGTCATCTCAGGAAGGTGTGTGTGTGTGTGTGTGTGTGTGTGTGTGTGTGTGTGTGTGTGTGTGTGTGTGTGTGTGTGTGTGTGTGTGTGTGTGTGTGTGTGTGTGTGTGTGTGTGTGTGTGTGTGTGTGTGTGTGTGTGTGTGTGTGTGTGTGTGTGTGTGTGTGTGTGTGTGTGTGTGTGTGTGTGTGTGTGTGTGTGTGTGTGTGTGTGTGTGTGTGTGTGTGTGTGTGTGTGTGTGTGTGTGTGTGTGTGTGTGTGTGTGTGTGTGTGTGTGTGTGTGTGTGTAATAACTCACTCCTTATGCTGTTATAACCTGCGCAGTGTGTGTAGATCTGCTGATAAATAGCCTCTGTAGCGATGTTGGCGGGCCAGGTAATCACTCTGGATGTAGGAGAAACATTCAGCCTAACCCACATGGGATTGAAAGAGACCATTACTTACACTCATCATCTAATCCTGACTTTACAAAACACGTACAAAAAATGAGAAGAATCACAAACAAACAGAACTCGAACTAATTCATTGGTGTCGTAAAAGCATAAATAAAACCCTTAACAAAATCTTATATTAATATTACTATATAAAATGTTTGTTGATTACCTGTCACGTCTTCTCATGGCTCTGTCAGGCTCTATGCCGGCCCAGAGGTGGACATCTGGAGCTGTGGGGTGATCCTGTACGCCCTGCTGTGCGGCACGCTGCCCTTCGATGATGACCACGTCCCCACGCTGTTCAAGAAGATCAGAGGAGGGGTCTTCTACATGCCAGAGTACCTGACTCGCCCGGTGGCCTCGCTGCTCACACTCATGCTGCAGGTGGACCCTCTGAAGAGAGCCACCATCAAAGACATAAGGTGCTCCCCCCACTCTGTGTGCCGCATTTATCTTCTCTTGATTCCTGCCATGGTCACACAGGTTAAATCATTGTTAAGAGCTGCATTGGCTTTAGTCTCTGCACTCTGCTGAGGATTGATTAACATTTGTCATTCAGCTTTTTTCACCACATTGCCTAGAACCCAGCATTTTCAGATGATTGTTTTAACAAGTCATCAGATTTTATTTCTCAAAGCAGTGGGAGGAAAAATTGAAGTTAACATCAAACAGAAGTGTATTTTCTCTTATCTTAGTGCTAGGCCTATAATGGTAAAGGTCCCCCATCTGAAGTGTGATTACAAAAACAGCCTGATGTGTTTAACAACAGTTTGAGCTCATGAAAGCTTAAATGTCATACTGTGACATTTTGAGATTATTTGCTTTTCCATAACCCCTTAGGTTGGGTTTTCTGATAACTGACGGTTATTCTCTCTCTGTTAGGGAACACGAGTGGTTCAAGCAGGACCTGCCGTGCTACCTGTTCCCCGAGGACCCCTCGTACGATTCGTCAGTGCTGGATGATGAGGCCGTCAGGGAAGTGTGTGAGAAGTTTGAATGCACCGAGACAGAGTTTGTGTCCAGCCTTTACAGCGGGGATCCACAGGTACACGACACACTTTTTAAAGAAATAAATTGGCCTTTTCTCTGTTTACTAAACTGTGACTGTTTTAGTAGTGAAGCCATATATTTGGTGTCATGATCTTGGCAGTGAAACAATGTGTTATAAGATATTTGACGATAAAGTTGGGAGTTATTTACTTTAGCCAACATCAACGTCTGCCTTTGGTCTCAGTGAATGATCTCTTTAGTCTTTAAATGACTGTGCTTCCTCCCTGTCTCTGCAGGATCATCTGTCCGTAGCTTATCACCTGATAATAGACAACCGTCGCATCATGACCCAGGCCAGCGAGTTCTACCTGGCCTCCAGTCCTCCCCAGGGCTCCTTCATAGAAGAGGGCATGCCGCTGCCCCCCGGGGTTAAAGCCCACCCAGAAAGGATGCCTCCCCTCCTGGCCGACAGCCCAAAGTCTCGTTGTTCTCTGGATGCTCTCAACACCACCCGGCCCAAACCCCTAGCAGTGAAGAAGGCCAAGTGGCACCTCGGCATCAGGAGTCAGAGCAGACCTTACGACATCATGGCTGAAGTGTACAGGGCTATGAGAACCCTCAGCTTTGATTGGAAGGTAAGAGGATATGTCTTACACTTAACGTATACATACAGTATTTACAAAGGCGTATGAATTACATGGTCTGTTTTATGTTCTGAAGGTGGTGAACCCATATCACCTGCGGGTGCGGAGGAAGAATCCAGTGACAGGAAACTTGGTGAAAATGAGCCTGCAACTGTACCAGGTGGACAGCAGATCTTACCTCCTCGACTTCAAAAGCATCGATGGTTAGTGACAGACAAAACAGATTTTACAACACCTATAATTTTGAATAATGCATACCTAAATGAAAGAACATTTGTATCATAAAGAATCTTTTCTTCTCTGATAGCAAATGCTTTCGCAATGTTGCTACACTGCAACTCAATTTGTCTGCCCTAATTTCACGGCTCTAAAATCTGCTTTAGCTGAGTTGGTAGAGGAGGTGGTGTTTATGCAGATTAAATGGCAGGGTGCACTTCTGGTACTTGTTTAAGCATCAAATTGCACTTACGATGCAGCCTACGCAAGCCACCTCTTTTACAAACGCAAGCACAAAAGGCATCTTTTCATTCGTCATGTATATATGCCGTGCGTTCCTATATGTTAGACTATTCTACACACATAAACAATTGTAAAAATATTTACCGCCAATTATCATGAGTAGATCGTGACCGTCCTCTACCTCTGCCTTATTCTCATCTTCTCTTTTTAAGATTGAATTTCCTTGTTTAAAGGGGACCTATCATGCAAAATGCACTTTTTGATGTCTTTTATACATAAATATGTGTCCCCGGTGTGTCGTGGAACTCACGCAGCGTCAGAAAATAAAACCCTTTCTCTTTTCCTCCGTACCCAAATCTTTTAAAAACGGGGGTACAACGAGCGGATACAGATTTGCTGCCGATATGACGTCAAATCGGCAGCGGACCCACAGAAAGTTGCTATCAGAAACAATGCCTGACGTGTTTTGGACGTAATCTCGTCTTTGTTTACATTAGCAAGCCTCGCTAACACTCAGAGCTAACCTGTACTGTAGAGCAAATGTGTTTAAAAAGCAGGAAATAAAAAAAGGAACTCACCTTGTGATAAACCCGCAAGAGAAAAAGCATTTGAGCTCCATACTGTTTCAGAAATAATCCTTGATGTGGTTTAGAACAGGATGGCGTTTTATCACAGCAGAATTTAACTTTATCTCCGGTAGAATTCTGATCAGGCATTAGCTCCGCCTCCTCTTTTTATTTTTTTCAAGCTAAGGACCCAAAATCCGCGTTTCTCTAACAGGGCTGCAAAAGAGGGGTATGAGCTGTATGAGGCATGGCTACAATGGGTGAACTGTTTGGTATTTTAAGCAAAAAACTTCACAGACATGTTTTGTATAGGTATGGCCCTACAATATATGTTTCCAATATAGCACAATAGGTCCACTTTAAAGGCTAAATTCCAAATTCAATTCAAATTTTTTTCTTTAGAGTACTTGAATTTATTTTAACATGAGAGTAATTGGTTGTGATTTATAATTAATCCAGTAATTACATTATGGATGCACGTTAAACATTTGAATTAAACAGACAAAAAACGTTTCCTATATCATTTTAGAATCACTATACAAACACATTGACCTCATTTCCTCTCTGATCATGTGACCCCCAGATGACATCATCGAGGCGGCAGGTAAATCAGGGTCGTCCACTCCCCAGAGGTCGGGCTCCACGGCCGGGCTGCACAGACCCAGACTGAGCATCGACTCGGCGACCCCGGCGCTGGACCTGCAGCTGCTCAGCTCCTCCCTGCCGGGGTCACTGTCCGGCTCCTCCCCCCTGCTCACCTCACGCCAGGGATCACACACCATGGACTTCTTTGAAATGTGTGCCAGTTTGATCACTACGCTCGCACGCTGAGACCTCCTCACCTCGCTGCCACCTGGGTGTCAGTGGGGATTTAAAGCCAAATGCTGATCTGGGATGTAGGGAGTGTAGAGGTTCGGAGTGACTTCCTCTTTCTGTCTCCTCGCCATCTCAGCTCCAGTGGTACTGGACTGGAAGGGTGAATGGCTGTCACCTCAGATCAAGGAGACATAGAGAGGAAGCCTTTCTCAGAGAGGCAGATAATTAGTTTTCTTTTTTCTTGTTTTGACACAGTCATGGGGTCAGAGTCTTGGAGTTTAAACATCCAGCCACAGCTAATGAAAACTGATCCTGGGAGAGTGGAGTCTGTGAACTGGTCGGCAAAGAGAGAGGCATTAGGGCACATCTCAGTCGCGTTGCAGTCTGCTAAGGTCAAGTTTAACGTCACTACTCCCACAAACACCTTCAATCTGTTATTAACTGCTGTCATCAACCCAAAATACACTGATCCTGCTGAGTTTGCCCCAGCCACTGATCAGAGGTCAGTTTTAATGTTTGTCTTATATAGTGATCAAGACACTGGTTTTAAAAAGTTATAACATATAAAATCTTATTTCAGATTTTATATTATATGGTTTGTAAACTGCTTTTGTTCTCCATGTAAAAAATATATTTATAATGCAATCGTATAACGTGGGTGGAAAGGTTGGCCAAGGTATACCAAATAACAGACTTTATACAACATAAAATAGATTATTATTTAGATATCAGATCCATATTTATTTTTGAAAGATTGTTATTTAGGCACTGTTATAGTATTTAAGCACAGAATCTACGTAGAGTTTTATCCTGATTTTGAATAGATTGTAGAAGATTAATGAACCTGGAGAGACAGCCGGATAGTCGGGTGATAATACTCTGCATAACACTGATCAGTGTCGAAGCACAGATACACACCATCTCACAGGAGTTTACACAACCACCCCATAATCTGACTATTGTTGTGAAGCAACGGACTGTGCATAGGACGCGTACCTCTGATATTCCAAAGAAAAGACACTCTACACTTCATTTAAGTGAATGAATGCGTTAATGTTGCGTAGTCATGCATGTACAGAATATAACTGAAAAACATGGCAGTCAGTCAGATAAGCAGTGAGCTAAGAAAGAAGCCATGTGCTAGGCTACAATTAATAACAATTAAAAACAAAGTATTCCCGTTAGGCCTTTTAAAAGGAGAAATAATTCCATCAAAAATAAGCGCCTAATGTGAGGTCTAGAATTGTCTTTCTCTATGCATATTAATATTTATTTCATAAATTACTACAAAAGTCAATCAATTTTCAAAATTGCTACCAATCATTTTCGAAGTAATAAAGTTAATTAGCCCTGTGTCCGTGTGTGTACGAATAGATAATGAGGTGATGATGACAATCGATGGGAGGAAGATGATAAATCCATGTGAGCTGGTGTGTATCTGCTGCAGGACAAGCCACAGAAACCTTTTTCCAGCTGCCTTAAAGAATGCAACACAGTCATTCTGTGCATGTGTTTATGGAGAGTGTGTGCATGAGCCAGTGTGTGTAGAGGAGATCAGATGAGTGTGTCACATGACTTTCTTGTTCTTTGTCTGGCGGATCATTGCAGTGACTTTAAAGTTGGTAGAAAGTCGTGTCAAAATGTGACGTCTCTGTGTGTTGGGGCTGTCCTCTGTGTGTTCCTACTGTTGAGCTGTCTGTTCGTCTGCACTTTAAAACTCATTTGCAGATTTAGTGTTTTATTGCATCACACCCTTGTTGTGGATACATAAGCTTTACTGTACCTGTTGTTTCTTGTCCTATGTTTCGATAAATGCCACGGTGTCATCACTTGTTAAGTGTTCTGCATTGTCGTTTTAGAGTCATACCATAGCAGGGTTGTGTCTCTCTGTTGTCATACAATATTTTATCATAATATTTTCAGACTGCATGTTGAGTGAAAGTTGATGCTGCTCAGATAAATCCTCCTGTCTGTCTTTCTCTCGGTTTCTTTCCTTGGTTTTAGAGCAGCGTATTTGTTTTCATAGAGAGGTGTTGCCTTTCTACTGTTCTCAGTCAAATATGTAGGGGGTTAGTAAGACAGGTCTACTTAAGACAGGTGTAACAAAACCCCAAAATGGCCAATATATAATATATTGCACACCTGTTATACCTTTTTATCCATCATTATTTTCACAGGCTTTGGGGTAGCAGGCAGGGGTTTATTTCTTTCAAGTTAAAAAGGAGATTAACGGGCAAACATATCAGAAACTTTGGTCACGTTGGAGGTTTACACACATCGCTGTAGACTATTCAACCAGTTACAGTGTTTTATGACTTTATTGGACCTAGAATAATTTTATGTAGACGAGGTTCTAGTTGGTTACTCTACTTGTTGATTGGAGTGATTATTGTCTGCATCAAACTCAAAATGGAGTCAAATTGCCTGATGAGAGCATTGTGAAGGCTTTTGGTTGAAACAGTGAAAGCCACATTCTTGTTCCTCTGCTAAATCCCTTTATTACACTATCCTGTTTCTACGTCCTGTGTAGGGTTGCCTTTCCTGTCTGTGCCGCCACATACACTGAATATACTCCGATGTGCTCCCTGCTGCCAGACACATGCCACTGCACACAGCTTTTAAACAACAATCAATGTCAAACCTCTATATTACACTCCAGTGCTGTGTCTAATGACTTCTGTTTAGTGAGCGACTCGGTTCACATCAGGATCACATCTGGCCCATTATGCATCTGATTCTGCATTGGAGAGGTCATGGGTATTTTTCCTGATATAACCAGTATTTACTGTCAGATGCAGCACTGTACCATTACAACTGTATGCAACTACCAGTGGCATGTTAGTAGTTAGACTCTAATCTGTGTTGAAAGCTGGGAAACACAGGGGGCCGAATCAAATACAGACGGAGAACTCCAACAGCAAGGTGGTGCTCTCTGTTTATCTGTGGTGGGTTTTTATGATAAGTAACTTAAATACACCTGTGTGTGTCGTACGCGCGCGTGTGTGTGTGCGCGTGCACTGGTTATTGGGAAAGAAAGTGTATAAGGCTGTGTTTGTCACAGTTTCTCTTCCTGTCTCTGTCTGATTGGGGTTTGGATTTCTCTTGTTACGCACTGCATGAAATTGCTGTTATAATTTGCACTTGAATCAGTATTTATTGAAAAACAATAAACCAACATATAAAAGGAAAATGTTTTTGTCCTAAATGCTTTGTCAATTTCACACCCATCACAGAGGATTATATAAGTGTTTTTTCCAGACAAAAACGCACCCTTAGATGTCGACAAACAACATTTTACTCACAAAAATGACCTCAGGTGATCATCACACCACTTTGTCTTCTATAACACTTGGTATTCATCAGCTTCAGGGAAAGTCGTAGAAGAAAGGCGGTGAGATAAAAGTGACACCTGCTACACATCCGCTCCATAAAAATTAAAGAAAGAAAATAAAGTTTATGGATTGTGCTTCCCTCCAGAATGTGCAACTGTAAACAATACATAGCAACTGGTCTGTTTGTTTTAGATTTCCCTCCATGGTTATTGGTGCCATTAAAGATAATTATACATAATATATTTAAAGCTCAGCATTTAAATACTATGACACGAGTTACATATGCACTTCTATAATCCATAATGATATTCAACAACACTAACGGGTAAATAGAAGTAGAAAAGATACTCGTGTACAAAAAAACAAGAATAATACAAAAACACATGGAAGAACTGACTAGCCCAGTATTAAGTAAAAAAAGAACTATGTATGTAATATGTAAGTTTATATATGTAATTTGATATGTAATTTATTCATTTGTATGTCTCCAAGCTATACTTCTATTTACTCCTTTGCTACCAACACTGTAAACTGGTAACAAGTGTATTGGACACTAACTAACTAGATTATCCTGAGGAATAACCTGACTGAAGAAAGACTAGTGATTTCTCGGAATATGAATGAAAATGAGAAGTAAACTAATCTGCCTGTTCTCACTGCCTGTGTCTGCTGTCACACTGTTTTCTTAAACTGGTCTAAGAATAATCTACATGTTCCATCATCTTCCCCTTATTTACACCACCATTTTTTTGGGGTTATTTGCACATGACGTGTGAACATTTTCAAACGCATGAGGTGTGTTTGATAAATGTTTGTACTTCTTTTTCCTGGGATCAGCAGCTCATATTGGTCCAATTTTTCAAAATCATACAGAGCCACCAGGTCCCTCTCTGCTTTCACACGGAGAGCTTAAAAAAAAAGTTTGAGGAGACGGTGTATCGCTTGTTGAGAAATCTCCTTATCTCATCATACTGATCCATAAATGCCGTCACCAGGTAAACGAGGTCACAGTCAGGAAGATGAAGATACTGTCACAGTATTGGGTGACTGACACGGGTCACAGTGTGCAGAATAACAGTATGGACACATTTTGTTTTTCCTCTGCCTGGCTGCTCTTTGTCCTGCTGTTACAAACAGAAAAACAACGTGTCAGTAAGTGAAGTGCACAGTGATGTCATGTAGTGACGAGAGAGTCCAGGCGATTTGTTCTTACCTTGTTTATGAGAATTACTCCACTGTCAGGTCAGCATACATGTCAGGAGGAGGTAAAATGATCATGTCAGGATGATCAAAATCTAATGAAGTAACTTCAGGCCTGTAAGAAAAACACATTTTAAATTATTCAACATGTCCAAACACAACCCAGAAACGTACAGTTCAGTATGAGGTGCTGCAATGTGGGTTACTGTGCCAGCAGGAAAAAAGGAGGGTAAAATCAGTTTGACTATGAATATAACAGTACATGGAATCAACTCATTATCCTACCAGACACAAGACAACGACTGTCAACAAAACAACAAACAAAGAATTTCATGCTCAGCAGAATAATACAAAGGGCTAAAAGGAAGGAAACTTTTCTGTCTACAGGTTGCACAACCTTAGCTTTGTCCTTTGTGTACGAGTGTGTGTGTGTATGTGTGTGTGTGTGTGTGTTTTATAACTCTACTTACAAGGAATCTTCTTCCTCCTCCACTAGCACAGGACCTGTGATGGAAACACATTCAGTCAAATCTAATGCTTTTTAAATGGTATAGATGGATAAACTGATTTTTATTTAAAAAAAACAATACTATGTATTCACAATAAACATTATAGAATGAAATGATCATGTTGCACATTATTATACAAACACATGGTCATTTTACTTTATAACGTTTCTATATTTAAGAATCAGGGATGTTCAGACATCACTTACATGTCTCTGGTTCAATGCTGCTGTAAAAAATAAGGAAAAGCAACAATCAAAACACAGTTTGTGTGTGTGTGTGTGTGTGTGTGAGTGTGAGTGTGAGTGTGAGTGTGTGAGTGTGAGTGTGTGAGTGTGAGTGTGAGTGTGAGTGTGAGTGTGAGTGTGAGTGTGAGTGTGTGTGTGTGTGTGTATGTGTGTGTGTGTGTGTGTGTGAGTGTGAGTGTGAGTGTGAGTGTGAGTGTGAGTGTGAGTGTGAGTGTGAGTGTGAGTGTGTGTGTGTGTGTGTGTGTGTGTGTGTGTGTGTGTTGTGTGTGTGTGTGTGTGTGTGCGTGCGTGCGTGCGTGCGTGTGTGTGCGTGCGTGTGTACAGCGGATGTGCAGTTTGTGCTTCATGCCTACCTGGGAGCAGGTTCTGCAGGTTTTGGTGCATGGAAAAATGTGGCCAATTTCTGAAGTGCTTCATGTCTTGCACTAATAAAAAATGAATAATAAAACAGTCAAATACTATTCGATATACAATGAAGTTTATATGTGTAAGAGAGAATCAGGTAAACTCACTTGTCATGTGTGCCCTCTGCGCTGATGTCACTTTGACTGTGTTGGTGGTTTATGCTTAGATCTCTGTTTCCTAATAAAATACAGGCGAGAACTTTACAACACATACCTATTGCATTAATTATATCATAAGCACACAGGTACTGAAGACACTAAACCTTGGAGTCATTGTAACACACTTTAATTACTAACATCTTCCTGTGAACTCAAACAACCTGCTCCTCTGCTGATGTTGTAATTCAGCTTTTAAAGTATGCTAACAACTGAGACTTCTGTGAGTCTTTCAATGATGATTAGTACAGAAGGGAGTGGGATTCCAGTAGCTTGACAAAAAGTCATGATGACATGATAAAGACTCATGTTTGTAGTATCGCTTCTCTATTGTATCTGCACACTTATATCAATATAGGAGATACAACAAGTGTCGACACCATATGAGAAACACAAGTGTCACACTGTGTGGTACATAACACAACCAGTCACACATTGCCTTACATCATCACCAACTGTAAAGTATAAACAGTAAGCTAGGAACACAATGTGTTGAAGAAAGTCCTGTTTGAAATGTCTTACCCATATCTGGCATTGAGAGTGTCCTGTTGTGGCCCCTGCAGAGGAAACAGATTGACAAGACAAGGCATTGATAATAAGAAAACAACGCATAGCCAGCGATGACTTATCAGAGATCAGTGTCAATGGTGCTGATAGGCCTCTATCTCAAGATGTAATATCAATCAAAAGCATAATGTAGATCCATCCTGACTCACATTGGAGTCAGTGGATCTGCGGTATCAGGAGGAGGGGAGATGGGTTCTTCTTCGTCACCGGTCCACTCCTCACTGTCATCTGTGACTGCACACAACACAAACATCAGACTGATGCAGAATAAATTCAACACAGTTTTCATGAATAAGAACAGCAAGATACTTACAGCTTTCCGCTGACAATGGATAGTGGTTTGAGGCCCTGAGAAAAAGAGAGAAATACAGCTATAAATAATCTTCCAACAGTGTGAGGAAGAATGAGTGAGGGGGTGTGCCCTCCTACCTGCTCCCCGAGCTGGTAACCTCCTCCTCTGAGACCACAATGTTGTTGTTGTTGCCCCTGCGAGAGATGGCCGCCTTCTTTCCGAGCTCCAGCATCTCCTTGATGTCCAGCTCCACATGATCCACGGCAACATATCCGTCTGTAACAAACACACACAGGGTTAGTGCCGTGATACACAATCAAGGAATGTGATTGTTTGTTTGTTGATCATTTCTGTGTGTGCATTTTCATTTGATCAATCTAAATCAGGGATGTCAAACTCAAATACACAGTGGGCCAAAATAAATCAATCAATGTTTGGGGTCAGGCTCTGAGCTGAGGAAATCCTCAGGATTGAGTGAAGGTGTGCGTGCAATATACCGGCGGGCTAGATCTAATAGTAATTAAAAATAATCCTGCGGGCCGAAATTAAATCCACCAAGGGCCTGATTTGGCCCCCGGGCCTTGAGTTTGACACATGTGATCTAAATCGACAGAATTAGCTGTGCTTGGTTTGTTTTAAATCATTTTCATTTGATTTTAATTATGTAGCATATAGCCCCGGAGCATTGAATCTAATTTTCTACATTTTATTTGTTCTTATTGTCTGTAGTGTATAGACATCGTATCAATTCCCAATATCAAAATGTGCAAGTAGTGGGCCAGCCTGCCTAGTGTAATCTATTGATTTAATCCCACAATTACAGCATTTCAAGTTTTCTGTGCGAACACTTTTGTAAAGTTATTATGTTATTCTCTGACTTTCCATGAATCCATCTGTTCCTCCTTTTACCCTTTAGCTGAACAAAATGCTGATGATAACACATGGCTTTAATTAAAAACTCACAGTTGTTGCTGCTGTCCCTGGCCAGCCATTTCCCTTTGGGACAGTTGGTTGTACTGATGATGCTGATGATGTCCCCGTTGTTGGCGGCCAGATCATTTTTACGTCCCTTGGTCGCCACGGTTACTTTTGCTTCGTAGATGGCGTCCTCCTGTCCTGTGATCTAACAAATACAGCGGCAGGTTAACACAACACCTCACATACGTGTATATGCAAACAAACTACAGAGACTTTCTACAGAGAATGTAAACAAAATCTAACTTTTTAATGGATCTTTTTCACAGCAGATATATTGACATGATCCAGAAGGAAAAGCACAGGTGTAATTATTATTATTAACATGAACTGTTTCCCACTTAGAGGGACTTACTTAAAGGTGGGGTAGGTAAGTTTGAGAAACCGGCTCGAGATACACTTTTTGTTATATTCCATGGAATGCTCTTAACATCCCGATAGCAATGAATATCTTAAGTGCTTTGACAAAGAATCCATAAAAAAATGTCATCTGTGGAAGCCGTAGTACTG